CGGACCAGCCCACATTAATGTCCGTGAACTGTCCCCGGTGGTCACACACGGCCTGCAGGATCACGGAGAAGTACCCCTTGCGGTTGACGTACCGGGAGGCTTGGTGTTCCGGGGCACGGATGGGGATGTGCGTCCCGTCGATGGCCCCCCCACAGTTGGAGAAGCCCAGGGCGCCAAAGCCCCGGATGATGGCGCCCAGGTCGGCGAGGCGGACCACCCTGCGGAGCAGCACCCGGTTGATGGCCCTGACCACCTGCGGAGAGACACAGCAAAGCGCGAATCAGTGGGGTGCCCGGGTGGCTGGGAGTGTTCGTGCCCTGGCAGTGCCCCGTGCCCCACTCCAGGAAGCAACCCCCCCGGGCGGCGTGTAGTATGGCCGGGAGAGACCGGTGCGGGGCACTTTCGCCTCCCCCCCACCCCCATTTTCCTTGGGGCGGCCCATCCCTTCCTTGCAGCCCCCTTCCCGCCCAGCCCAGTGGCCGGTGAGTGCTGTACCTGCATGAACGCTGCTCCAACGGTGGATCTCTCCATGCCAAACTGGTTCCCGGCGGATCGGTAGCTGTCCGGTGTGGAAAGCTTCCAGAGGGCGATGGCCACACGCTTCTGGAGGGGGATGGTGGGCCTCATGCGAGTGTCCCGTCGCCGTAGAGCAGGGACAAGCCACTCGCAGAACTCCAGGAAGGTGTCCTTCTTCATCCTGAAGTTCTGGGTCCGCTGCTGGTCTCCCCAGCGCTCCAGTATGATGCGGTCCCACCAGTCGCTGCTGGTGTCCAGATGCCAGATGCGGTGGGCACACTGGCATCCGGGCGCTGCTGCCGCTCCTCCACGACCCCCAGGGAGGCCAGGGGGAGAGGTATGGGGCTGACGTGCACCAGATGGTGCAGGGTAGCCTCCACCCATTGCTGGCAGGCTTGCAGCAGCAAGTCCAAAAACTGGAGCAGCATGCCCAGGGTGAGCTCTGGCTCCATGGTCCCAACTGCGGCGGCATCCCTAGTGGGAAGCACCGACACAGGCAGGCAGAGAGAAAACGCTTTGCTGTCCCTCAGTGAGGTAGGCAAGCAAGCGGAAAAGCTGAGAACCGGCTGTCCAGGGGGTTCCTTTAAGCACGAGCCTTAGATAGCCTCAGACAGCAGCCACACAAAGCAACTGCTGACCTGATGCCCTGCCAGAACCGGTTTCAGGTGCCCTTAAATGCCCCCCTGCGTACAATCAGTGTGGACGCGCTAGTTCGAATTAGCAAAACGCTAATTCGAACTAGTTTTTAGGTCTAGCTGCGTTAGTTCGAATTAGCTTAGTTCGAATTAACTAATTCAAACGAAGTTAGTTCGAATTAGCACTGCAGTGTAAACATACCCTGCGTGTTTACAGGAGCCGGGCTGGGCTGGATCCTCTTCAGAATCTCAGTATCTCATGGTCACTAACTGCAATGGTCACTAAGTGCATTTCTCCAGGGAGGATCTTCTTGTGCACGTTTTCCAAGCAATCGTCTGTTACCCAGGTGCAGAGGATGTCCCTGCCAGTCCCGGTGCAGCTTCTGCACCCAGCGCCTGCCAACTGTAGGCAGAGAATTGTCTTGCCCACACTGGAGGGTGGGACACAGAGACAACGGTATCCGGAGGTCTCATGAGCACGGGGTGGCCTGATAAGATCTCTGCACATTGGTCCTGCTCCCCTTAACAAAGAGGACGTGGCTAGCCCAAGATTAAGTCAGACGAGATTGATGTAGAAGGAAGCTGTTATGGGGCAGATAAATGCAGCTTTGGGGTGGGTCACATATTTTCATCTTTTTGTTACTTGATGACTATCTCAATCCTAGAGCAGAGTCTCCCAGGCTGAGCACTGTAGGGATGGTTTGGTAGGAAGCTCTCAACCGGTAGCGCTTCATTTGCCCCTCCACCCGCTGTCATGCTGCTCCTGTCCTCTGCCTTGGAGCTGCCCCCCCTGGGAGCTTCCTGCTGGCTGTGAGGGATATGGGAGAAAGGAGGGGGGCTGATGTCAGGGTGTCCCTCCTCTCCCCACTTCTGTACCCTGAGTGCACCCTCCACACAGAGATAAGGGGATGGCAAGAGCTTGGCAATGCAAATCTCTGTCGCTCACACACTGCATCTGCCTCTGTCACTCTCACAAACACCAATTGTCCTTCACTCATCTCCCGACTGAATAGACATGTTGGGTGGGGGGTTGTTACTTCTTGTACTGCTCACAAAGTGACTTATTTTTTTATTTTTGATGCATCTCTTCATAAATCAAGAAATCAAAGAACTTTGGAAAGGTCCTGGGAGGACTTTCTAATCCGTCCCCACCCTGACTCGGAGCCGAGTCCTGCCCTAGAGCAGATCTCCAGGGCTTTGTGCAGTTGTAATGACACCAGTGAGTCTCGTGGGACCAATCCCCCTGGACCCAGATCAGAACGTCTGGCAAGAGGAGTGGGAACAGAAATGGGCCCCTCAAAGTCTGATTCACTTTGTTTTAAAAAAAAATGCCACAGGTGCCTCATGTCAGTGTTGCGGGGAAGTTTCTCTCAG